ATTGATCATCAACGATCTTTTTGTATAGAATCTTAATCGTCAATAGGAATCTACCACCGATTTAAGAACCGGCGAAGACTCCTATTGTAGCCACAGATCCTACACATATAGTTCAATGAAGACCAAATGTTTGGGATAGTTTGACAAGTAACATACTTAAGGTGGTCAAATTCTTGTTAGGGGAGCGAGGTGGGACTAAAAATAGCGCCTGCCACAACCTCTTTAGTACCGATTCGTGCCACGAACCGGTACTAAAGGTGCTGGCCGGGCACCAGCATCTTTACTACCGGTTCGTGGCACGAACCGGTACTAAAGATTCCCAAAGAACCGGTACTAAAGGTCACCTCCTGCCAAGTCATTTGAACCGGCACTAATGGGCCCATTAGTGCCGGCTCATATGCGAACCGGTACTAATGTTTCTCATATTAGGTCCTTTTTCTACTAGTGTATGGCCGAAGAATCTTCTTCTTCTGGAGCCGGCCGAGAGAACACTAATAACCACACATCAACAAGCATGTATGGAGACCACCACCCCACCTACGCAATTACCAGCTCCTGTAGTGCCGGGTTAAAGCGGCGGACGACGTGATGAAGGGGGTCCAATAGTGGCTGATGTAATCGGCCCCATAGAACAAAGAATGGATGATGAGATGGAGGAGACGGAGGACCCAATGGGTTTCCTCAATACAGGCGGCTACAACGGTGACTTAGATATGATGAGTCAGCCATATGAAGAATCGGGCTATCAACATGCTGATGAGGATATGGATGATTTTCCCGGGCAGGAACGTCCTAGCAGGGATTGCAAGAAGTCTCTCTTCATGAAATCCTCACAGCACACGCCTGAAGATGCCGCCTCAACACAAGCTCGACTAGCCGGGGGTCGTACAGTGCTTAGCCCGGTAGCACTAGGGCAGGGTTAAGGAAGGGTTTGGAAGGTGTGCCCAAGAAAAAGGAGAGGAAGAGATCGGGGAAGATAGGCTCAGCTGCCTGCAAACAAGCCAGAGTGCATAGCAGCCAGACGGTGGATCCTGAAGAGGTACCCGTCAAACGTGCGGCCATGTTCCATGTCACGGGTGAGCCGATGCCACCGCCAAAACCGTTGGAGGCACTATCAAGGGATCTCAAGAGACTACACGACCATGTGTTGTCGACTAAGAAAATCCTACTAGCCTCCAAGGATCCAGGATATCTGACATACGCAGCTCGTGTGCCTGAGGGGAAGTGCTAAGTCGACACACGGCCCGCAGAGGTGTTCTTCCTGCGGTTTGACCATATCTTCGAGATGTTTCTGACAAGGTGGCTCGATTTTACAATCGTCCGCCTTTTTGCGCTACATATGAGCTCCGTCATGAAGAGAGGAGAAGTCTCGCAAATCTGTGTGGCGGATCCATACTACATGCACGAGTCCTTCTTGAGTCTCAGCGACTCCGAGCGTGAAATTGCTAGGGAGTACCTCCAAAACTTCATGGTACATAATAAGGACCAGGAAACTGTCCTCCTGCCTTATCATCCAAAGTAAGTCATTTCTGGACAACCCTTTCGTACATTTCAATCATTCCTTCTCGCTCATATGGAGAATAATTTGAGGTGTCTTTTTCCCCGCAGCAACGGGCGCGCCGTCCTTATCGTTCTTTACCCACGAGTCTCCCACGCCGTGTATTTGGACCCTACCAGAAACTACGAGAAGAAGGACTACACCCACATAATGAATATTAGAGACGACGCTCTCCAAGGCTTTAGCATTAGGGGTGGCCACGTGCAGATCAGGAAACAAAGGACCAAGAAGATGGGTTTCTCGCATAAAACTAACTTTTGCTGCATCCATGTCCCAAAACCAAGCAAGAAAGATGGATTCTACATCCTCCATCTCATGATTGAGTTCAGCACGGATCACCAAAAGCTTCACATCACAAACAGAAACGATGATCATATCCACAAGTGGGTAGAATCTCATGGAGAAGCAGATTATAAACTTAGACATGACTTCTTTCGCATCCAAAGGGACATTGCGACGATCATCATGAAAGAAGTCGTCAATGAGAAGGGGATGTTCCACCATGGCGCTATGTCGTGTGAGCTGACGTCCGAACTCGTATAGGCATGCAACGTCATGACCTCACGCCGTTCAAGAAGCTAGGGTCCATCCTCGATGATATGGAAGGATGGAACTTCTAGTGATTTACGATGCTGCTGATGATGATATGTGTCGGTTGAACTTGTATACTTTCTGTAGAGATGAAACTTTGTGATGTCCACGGTCCCTGCCGAACTTGCGTAACGCTACTTTGTTAGTTTGGGTACGATGACCTGCGTACCTCTAGTTAATTAGTTTGCGTACTGTATGTTGCATCCAGTTGCTAACCCTTTCTTTTTCGTGTTGCTCTAGTATATTCTGTTGTATATGATTGTACATTCTCTTGATGAAGATGCATCTCTAACAGGTATCTAGCTTCTTGATGGCGAGGTGGCAGTGCTATGTCGTGTACAAAGGGAAGGTTTTGGGGTGTACAACAAGTGGTCTGAGTGTCAGGCGCAAATGAATGGGATCTCGAGCGCCAGCCGTAAAGGCTTCAAAAGCAGACAAGAAGCAGAATCTTGTTACTTGAGGTTCACGCTAGCGTAGGAGAGGACTCGTAACCGCCGCCTCATGTACTGCATAGTTCCGCTCTCACTCATAGTGATAGCTCTTCTCGCGTATATCATTGTTTAGATGGATGGCGATGTAGTTGCAAGTATTCGAGACTTGTATCGCTATTTTCGAAATGATGACAAGAGACCACTTTCTGTTGAATGATGATTATGATGATGACCACCTTGTATCACTATGTATATGCTATGATTACATTTGTATGTGTGTGATATGCTAGAGATTATTGTATAAAGCCCAAAACAAAATTCAGCAGCACAAAATGTGGAGCAGAAAAAAAAATAAAAACTAATAACAATAGCGCGGGGTACGTCATTAGCAGCAGCGAGCTCTTAGCAGTAGCACTCTTTGCACGAGGGCATTGCAACTATTATCAGCAGCGCGTGTTGCAGATAAACACGGCTACTATCCCTAGTTAGCAGTAGCACTGGCCAGGCCGCGCTACTGATAAGCATTAGCTGTAGCGCCGTATCAGTAGCGCGGCCACCCGCGCTACTGCTATACTTTTCCCTAGTAGTGGAGGCGGACCGGCGGCGGTGCCGACGGGAGGCAGAGGAACCCTAGGCGCTCCATTTTGATAGCATATCCGTAACCACAACTTTCCCATCTTTGAAAATTGTCAATAACCAGTGGCCTATTCTACAAAAAATCTCCTTCGTTGTTACAAACAATGGATCCACTACCTTCTTTGGGAACGACACTTGGTTGGTCCACCTCCACTTGCCTTAGCTTTCTGGAAATCTCTTCTTCAATTCCTTAGACGCTTACAATTTTACTTTTGGTAATCATGCAAAATGGTATATGATCAAACTTGTGAAACTTCGTAATCTTTGTTGCGTCAATAGAGTTGTCGACTTTGTTGTTATTGTTCCAGGCCTTTTAGTTTAGTGTTGAACTCTATGATGCTTCCTCATCCACGACGACAACTTCACCTCAAAAAATGTTACATGAACAAGAAGATCTTAATCATGGATAAATAGGAGCATCGAAATCCTCAATAAGGTGAATAATCTCTGGCTGGCATTTTTTAGGATGTTTGAACACGAAGGCCAACATGTTCTACAAGCACATAAGCCCAAATCCCTATTGCAGGTGTGTTGTGGCCATGCCTCCGAGATAGTGGACACCTCTCCCTCTTATGTTCTAAGGCATAGCAGATTTGACAACATCTAGAGGTATTTCCTGGTTCCCATGTCAACTCTCTACTCTATCGAGCTCTGCTACGCTTGCTAATTTTGATGACAATTTTGGCCAGAGATGCTTCTTAGTTCTTACAATAAACACTTGGAAATTCCTCCTTAAGCAAGATCTGGCACTCTTAATGCAGAGGATCAAGACCAAGAATTCTCAAGTTTTTCAAAGTTGGATAGATTCACATCTTTGATGTTGAAATCAGAGTTCTAGAATTACCTGAATATTAGTATGATACCTAAAACTAGAGTTGGGAACTTTTCTTCTTTTTCCTTTTTGCTTCCCTCCTTTTGCAAATATTTACTCTTATATAATGAAAATTGCCGGTTGTGGTTAAAAAACAATCTTTTGAAAGATTTGGACTGAATATGCAACCAATAATAATAATAATAGTAATCAGAAACCATGAAGACAACTTAATTATTAGTACGTGGAAACATTGTTTCAGACTCTCTTTTTGCCTCATCAGCTTAAAGAGTAAGGAAGCAGCTTCCTTGTGACAACCTCATCATTTCTTGTAACTAGATGATACCCCGCGCGTTGCAACATGATTGGGTGTATTTTGATGAAATTTAAATAGATAGAACATATTGTGTTTAATTACTGGAGTATATAGTTGTACATATATAGAAGGTATAAGTAGTATTTACCATATATACATGTTGAGAGAAATATAATTAGTGCGGCATGCGTGGTGAGTTGGATGTGTACATGTTGGAAGAGATTACAAATAATATTCGGGTGTACGCCAACCCTGATTGATTCCAAAGTTGTGTTCTTTTGCGCTCAGGAAAGATATTCCGTTCATTTAAAGATGGTAGAAATCATGTCATGTTCAGTTACGGAGTAACGGATGCAATGGCAGTAAATGTGAATATGACGTGGGGAAAAAAGACGGAAAGCACTGTATGGACGGGACTATAAGTACACCGGCCGTCTGCCACAACCAATCAACCATACAAGAATAAGTATACTCTTCCTCGCACAAAACACAAACTAGGTAAGTATCTTCCACGCCCCTCATTTGCACAACACAATTACATACTATAACGATGCAAAAAAAGAAAAAGAAAAAAAGAAAACATACCATAAGTAAATCTTTTCCAACACACTGAACTTATACGAATGTAAACAGAGGTTGATACGCTTGACTAACGAAATGGATAGTTTGCCTAAGCGCGACGCAAACTACGTCCCTTTGAGCCCCATCACGTTCCTGCAGAGGGCTGCCTCTGTCTATGCGGACCGCACCTCGCTTGTGTACGGCAACACCATCTTCACCTGGCGGCAGACATACGAGCGCTGCTGCCGGCTCGCCGCCGCCCTACAACAACTCGGCGTCATGAAGAAGGACGTCGTGAGAACCTTGACTAACAAACAAATTCCTCTATATATCAGTCATCCTGTATCGGTATGTCATAGTATCTTCTTACTTCTACTCACCTCTTTTTCTATATCTACTAGGTGTCCGTTCTTGCGCCCAACACGCCGGCGCTATACGAGATGCACTTCGCCGTGCCCATGGCCGGCGCGGTGCTCAACGCCATCAACACGCGACTGGACGCCACCGCCGCAGCTGGCATCATCAAGCATGCCGATCCCAAGCTTCTTTTCGTGGACTACCAGTACATGTGCCTGGCTACCGAGGTACTTAAAGGCATTAGGGACGGCGAGGCGGCTGGCAGTATCTCACCATTGCTTGTGGTAATCGACGACCTCAACAAGCCGGAGGAAACGAGAATAGGCGAGCTCCACTACGAGCAGTTGGTGGAAAGGGGCGACCCAGAGCAGCGACCACCGCGCTCCGTCGACGACGAGTGGGACGCTATCACGCTCAACTACACCTCCGGCACGACAAGCTCGGCTCTCAAGGGCGTCGTGTACAGCCACCGTGGCGCGTACCTGAGCACCGTGGGCCTCCTACTCCAGTGGGGGGTCGGGAGCGAGCCCGTGTACCTATGGTCACTCCCCATGTTCCACTGCAATGGGTGGACCCTGACGTGGGGCGTGGCTGCGCGGGGCGGCGTCAATGTCTGCATCCGTACGCCGGCGGCTGACGACATGTACGCTGCCTTGTCTGCCCACGGTGTTACGCACATGTGCGGGGCGCCGGTGCTACTTAACATCCTTGTGGAGGCACGCCGAGAACCGTTACTCCACGCCGTGGAGGTGCTAACTGGTGGCGCGCCGCCACCGGCGGCGCTTCTCGAACGCGTCGAGCGGCTGGGCTTCAACGTCACGCACGCCTATGGCATGACGGAGGCCACTGGCTCTGCCATGGTTTGCGAGTGGCGAGAGCGGTGGAACGCCCTGCCAACATCCACGCGCGGGCGCCTCAAGGCTCGGCAAGGGGTGAGCGCGCTCTCCCTCGCGGACGCCGCCGTCGTGAACAACATCGACACCATGCAGAGTGTGCCCAGGGACGGCACCGCCCTTGGCGAGATCATGCTCCGCGGCAACAGTATCATGAAAGGGTACTATAAGGATACCGCCGCAACGGCGAGCGCGTTTCGCGGTGGGTGGTTCCTGACGGGTGATGTAGGTGTGGTGCACCCGGACGGATACGTTGAGATCAAGGACCGATCCAAGGACGTGATCATCTCCGGCGGCGAGAACATCAGTAGCGTCGATGTGGAGATGGCGTTGTACCAGCACCACGCGGTGCGGGAGGCGGCGGTAGTGGCCATGCCGCATCCGCACTGGGGCGAGACGCCGTGCGCATTTGTGGCGCTGGAGCCGGGGTTCTCCTGCCTTGGCGAGGTCACGGAGGAGGACATTATCTTGTTCTGCCGTGATAAAATGCCGCATTTCATGGTGCCGCGGAAGGTTGTTTTCGTGGACAAGCTGCCGACGAACTCCACGGGGAAGGTGCGGAAGATTGAGCTGCGCCAGAGGCTGCACGGATGTAGCCAAAGTGCTCCGGGTGACAGCAGGCCCGGCTCGGCTTTGGCCGGCAAAGCCAGGCTTTGAAGTTCAGTTCACGCTAGTAATAGGACTAGCACTGCCAGGTAGAAACTACAATGGCTGGCAATAGCAAAAAAAGACATCGCAGTCTTCAAGCACCACAAAGCTTCATGAGAGCATCTCCAGACGCGCCCCAGCAGGCCCCAGAGCGACTTTTTTGCTCCGGCGTCAAAAAAAAAATCCCGGTCGCGCCCCCAAGACGCTAAAATCCGCCGGCTCGGCTCTTTTTGGGCCCGGCGCACCCAGGCTGAACCGAGCGCACTGGGGGGCACTTGGGGGCACTTGGCGGAAGGGAAAAGAGTATCTGGGCCACCACTGTCAGGCGAAAACGTATCTTTGCACGTCCAGATTCGTCCACCGCGTGTGCGCCCTCCCGCCGCCTTGCCGATCCCGGCGCCGACCACCCCTCGCCATCGCTAGATAGACCATTCCCCCGAGTCTAACAAAACTCTGTAGAGGATGTTGTAAAACGGAAGAGAAGACGTTTGTATGAGATGGGTTAAAAGCACAAAAACTTGCGATCCCAAGGTCTGTGAATTACCTGAATTTTTTGTTTATAAGATGGGAATTTGAATATTGAATTTGTAAAAGCTTTGGCATAAATGATCTAGGAGAAGAAATATGGCATGCTCGGCTTCTTACTTCAAATAAAATTATTCGTCCTGAGAATTAGTGAAAAAAATCTGGAAGGAGTGCTAGATAGGCTAGAAAGAAGAAACGCCTACATATGCTATGCTGGTCAATTTTTTATTTGGATTTTTTTTAATTTTTTGTGTTCCTTTTTTTTTTGACCGGGTACATATGAGCCTGGGCAACAAAACGCTGCACTAGGACATGAAAATCCGCTTCTGCGCCCAGGCTCATCACTTTTTTAAGCAGTTGAATACATGGTTTCTTGCCCTGTTCCTGGGATCATTTTATCAAAGCCTTGAGAGTGAAATGCTAGGTTGACCTTTCAAGGATGTAAAACCTTTAACTAGTCCATTGCAAATGGTTAACTTTGAGCCAGGATACCTTGATTAGACAGTTAAAACAGTCATCATGTTGTTCCAAAGACTTCATTTCTTGTGCAGACACTTGTGACTTTATCCGACTCTCAATTTTTCTGGTGAAACGAAGCGTTGTTTCCCTTGCCTATCAGTGTCAGTAATAATATAAATGACACGCAACTCTTTGTTTTGACCATTCACACCATCCAGTTGTGATATTACACTCAGCAACTCTAATAATTCAAAAAGTAAAACGAAGTTCATGTAGTAATAAATATTACAAGGCTTGAGAATTAATAATTAACATAACTACGGGAAAAAAGGCACAACCCATGCAAAATTATACAGTATAATATAAAAACACTGGATAATTACAACCATTTGACACAATGGCACTGACTGCATGACTTCCTGATATTTAGCTTAACATTAGAGGGGACCTTCCCCACAATGTATTGTTCGGTAGCCAAAACTGCTTTGTGGGCTTCTCTGATCATACGCTGTCCCGTAGGAGGGCTGCAACCACCAATTTTGTGGACAGCTAACCTATCAACATGTTCATAACCAGCACTATATATGGGGTCCAGTTTAAGATTCTCAAGTGATGTTGCATTGTCAAGAATATGGCATGTTAGCTCAACCATGCTCTTTGCAGAGCAAAAGCCATCGATCTTCACGTTCTTGATGCTGACGTGGTGCTGTCCTGGCATCTTTCTGAGAAGCGAGGAATCCCCAGATACAGGATCATGCTTCATGCGAGACTGCCATGCCTGCACAGGTAAAACAGACATGAATTGCTGGTTCCTCGGTTATAAGATGCCCTCACAAGACAGAAGAGCGACTTACAGACAATGAGAAAGTTTCCAACACAGGACAAGCATCTAGGAGAAAAGCTAGAGAACAATAATCATAAGCTGGGGAAAAGGCCCCTTCTTCAACAGAAAGACAGATCTCCAATAGCTTGAGGTGCAGGAATTTGGCAGCTAAATTTGGTGTATCAAGAACCTGCATAAAAGCATCCATATCAATTACTGTATATTCTAAATCATGCTTATGACGAGAACGCAACATCAACGATGGCTAATTAAATAATAGTGTTAGTCACTCTTCAAATAATAAATATAGAATTTAATGTACCTCACCAGCTGAAGAAATGCCAAGAGTTTCAAGATTTGGCATAATCCTTGGAAGCTTGACACAAGCATAATGAACGAGGTTATACTCAAAGGGCCACAACATATCTAGGTTCTTCACTGCAAATGAATCTCCAAATGGAAGTCGTACAAGAGCAGTATCAATACAAACTGTGCAAAGATTCGGAGCTTTGTTCTCTATCGCTTCCAGTGTTTTGCATCCAGACACTGTCAGGTGGTTGAACTGGTTTAGCAGGGACGGTATCTTCAGGCAAGTGATCTTATTGCATCGCCAAAGATCCAGCTCCTCCAAAACAAAAGAATTGGAAAGAAGGCACCCTAAATCATCCCCTGTAATATGCAACCAAGTCCAGCCATGGGATGGAAGGCACAGCCTTTGAGTTTTAGATATCTAATTGACTTTCCACTTCCATTGAATAAAAGTGGGCCGGGGAAGTTGTAGTACTTTGCATCGTGTACTACAGGAAGCAAAAGTACAAGCTCTTTAAGCCCTGTGTTAACAGCAATTTGAAGCCAACTCTTGAGACGACTGGCATAGATACGAGAACCACAACATTGAAGTTTGAATGTCTTCAAACCAATGTCTGTGTGTGCTTTCATAATTTGGTCAACTATTTCGGTGAACTTCAAAGCTAGTTTATCCTGTCCACGTGTAAGTCTCAGTACTCTCTCAAAGAAGGTGAGGTTCACTCCCAGTGTTTCCTGACTGAAGGTGAGATTGGGACGGCATCTCCAGCAACGTAAAAATTCACGAGACACGCAGCCAGCTCGGGTAGCATCCGGCAGTGGTAGTAGGGCATGTATATGACACCAAATGTCCTTAAAAAGTATGTAAGAAAAAGGTAGTTGATGAAATAAATTACACACCAGGCATTCAGTGCAAAGTGCGACAGATTATAAAGTAAAATAGCCACAGAGTCGAATGTGGTTGTGGTGGGAATATTACTTATTAACATTAGTTGTTTATTAAAAAGGTCACCTGATTCCCAAACAAAATTATTACTTATTCCAAAAATGCACAACAGTGAAATCAATATTCTAGTGTGAACTTTGAAGCTAGCAGAAAAGTGCAGAGGAAGCAGAGTCTCTTATTTTTACGTTTGCAGAAACTTGGTTAAAGTACAATGCTTCAAGAATGTACCGAAGTATCGGAGTTATGCTCAAATATATCGAAGCTGGCCAATTATTAGTTTGAATGAGCATACTTATTGCAGTTCTAAAGTTGATTTCTTCTTTCTGAAGTACCTTCACTCACATAGGCTATTTGACATGTTTATTTTTTCTTCATCGACCAAGATTTTATCAGAATTGCTGAACTTGGAGGCTTTCATTTTGTGATTAAGAAAAGGGCAAAGTAGAGTTCATCGCTTAAACAGCAAGAGTGAAGTTTAACAGATGAAGTATTCCAGAGTCCAGGTGTATGTTTAGCCTTGAGGCTCGGTATGTCTGAATGCACAACAACACCGGTATGATCATTTAAACATAACCACTCTGTTTGTAAATGGATGATATTTGGAATGGAAACAATTTCTAATATGCATCTTTGACGGTAGGCAATGACACATCTAATCTAGTGGTACCATTTTGAGGAAACCAATCCAATAGTTGCCAAACATAGAGAAGTTCGATTGCACACACTGTAGACCATTATCTATTTCAGAGTGGAGAAGATCGAATGCCAATGAAAAAAATACGCGTCTAACAAAAGTCTGTAGAGGATGTTGTAAAACGGAAGAGACCATTATCTTGTTCACTGCAGGATGGCCTCGCCGTCTTAGCCACCAATGAAACCATCGGTGTACCTGAAATTAGTACATCATGCATGATTATGGCTTCATGAGTTAATTATGCAGTACAGTACATTACAAAAAACAGAGATCCCCCCTTGTTTCCATTACCTAACTTATTATGATGCACAGCAACACAAAGTTGCTACAAAAGAAAGAAATTGTTTTGTTCCAGTCCAGTAGGCACATGGAGGGATGAAGCGGCGATAGAGTACCTGGTAATGGGACGGGGTTTGCCTGTATCGGCTGATGCCGCTTCATGGACATGGTGAGGTCCATTGTACGTAGAGCAAGAGAGGAGGCAACTGGGCCTGCAGGAGACCGAGGAATATCGTCGTCGACCCATTGACGCTCAAGTAAATCTAATTGCCACTTTTTTTACGGCAGGTCCGATTGGTCATTTATATAGGCTACAAACAATTCTAAAGACTGGATAGTCACAATTATTTGACAGAATGACACTGAGTGCATGGTTTCTTGATACTTAGCTTAACATTAGAGGGGACCTTCCCCATGATGTATTTTTCGATAGCCAGAATTGCTTTGTGGGCTTCTCTGATCATACGTTTTCCTATAGGAGAGCTGCAACCACCAATATCGTGGACAGCCAACCTATCAACATGCTCATAATCAGCACCATATATGGTGTCTAGTGTAAGATTCTCGAGTGATGTTGCACTGTCAAGAATATGGCATGTTAGCTCAATCATGCTCTTCGCAGAGCAAAAGCCATCAATCTTCACGTTCTTGATACTGATGTGGTGGCGTTCTGGCATCTTTCTCAGAAGCGAGTAATCTCCAGATACAGAATCATGCTTCATGCGAGTCTGGTATACCTGCACAGGTAAAACAGGCATGAATTACCGGTTCCTCATATATAAGATGCCTTCACAAGACGGAAGAACGACTTACAGACAATTCAAAAGTTTCCAACACAGGACAAGCATCCAGGAAAAAAGCTAGAGACAAATAATCATAAGCTGGGGAAAAGGCCCCTTCTGCAACAGAAAGACAAATCTCCAATAGCTTGAGGTGCAGGAATTTGGCATGCACGATTGGTGTATTAAGAGCCTGCATAAAAGCACGTAGATTAATTATATTCTAAGACATGCTTATTACTACAACAGCAACATCAATCAACAATGGCTAATCAAACAATAGTGCTAGTTACTCTTCAAATAATAAATATAGAGCTCAATGTACCTCACCAGCTGAAGAAATGCTAAGAGTTTCAAGATTTGGCATAATCCGAGGAAGCTCGGCACGGGCATAATAAACGAGGTTATACTCAAAGGGCCACAACATCTCTAGGTTCTTCACTCGCAATGAATCTCCAAATGGAAGTCGTACGGGAGTAGTATCAATACGAACTGTGCAAAGATTCGGAGCTTTGTTCTCTATCAGTTCCAGTGTTTTGCATCCAAACACTGTCAGGTGGTTGAACTGGTTTAGCAGGGACGGTATCTTCAGGCAAGTGATCTTATTGCATTTGCTAAGATCCAGCTCCTCCAAAACAAAAGAATTGGAAAGAAGGCACCCTAAATCCTCCCCTGTAATATGTACCTCAGACAGATGCAGCTTTCTCAAGCAACCAAGTCCAGCCATGGGATGGAAGGCACAGCCTTTGGGTTTTAGATAGCTAATTGACTTTCCACTTCCATTGAATAAAAGTGGGCAGGGAAAGTTGTAGTGCTTTGCATCGTATACTACAGGCAGCGAAACTACAAGTTCTTCAAGCTGTGGATTAACAGCAATCTTAAGCCAACTCTTGAGACGACTGGCGTAGATACGAGAACCACAGCATTCAAGCTTGAATGTCTTCACACCACTGCCTGTGTGTTTTTTCATAATTTGGTCAACTATTTCGGTGAACTTCAAAGCTAGTTTATCCTGTTCACATGCAAGTCTCAGTAGTCTCTGAAAGTACAGAGGTCACCTGATTCCCAAACAAATTATTACTTATTCCTGAAATGCACAACAGTGAAATCAATATTCTAGTGTGAACTTTGAATCTAGCAGAAAAGTACAGAGGAAGCAGAGTCTCTTCTATTTACCTTTGCAGAAACTTGGTTAAAGTACAATGCTTCAAGAATGTACTGAAGTATCGAAATTTATCGAAGCTAACCAATTGCTAGGTTGAATGAGCATACTTATTGCAGTTCTAAGCTGATTTCTTCTTTCTGAAGTAGCTTTAAATAGGTTACTTGACATGTTTATTTTTTATTCATCGACCAAGATTTTGTCAGAATTGCTGAACTGGGAGGCTTTCATTTTGTGATTTATAAAAGGGCAAAGTACTATAGAACATTGTCGAACATAGAGAAGTTTGATTGCACACACTGTAGACCATTATCTATTTCAGAGCGGAGAAGATAGAATGCCAATGAAAAAAAAAATACGCGTCTAACAAAAGTCCGTAGAGGATGTAAAACGGAGAGAAGACGTTTGTATGAGATGGGTGAAAAGCACGAAAACTTGCGATCCTGAAGTGTGTGAATTACCTGAAAAAATTGTTTATTTAAGAGGGGAGTTTAAATATTGGATTGGTAAAAGCTTTGGCATAAACGATCTAAGAGAAGAAATTTGGCTAAATCAGTCCTGAGAATTAGTGAATTAAAATTAGTGTCTGAGTTTGTCTGACAAAACCAATCCAGTCTGTACGGTGTGCTAGATAGGCTAGAAGGTAGAAATGCCTAAGTCAATTTTCTATCACAAGAACCAAATACAAGGTTTCAGTAACGAAACATGTGCTTTATCTAGCAGTACAAGTATTGCATTTTCTGAATTTTATTTATGCGGTACCTCCGGAAGGTC